TACTTTCAAACAAAGTTTCTGGAGCATGAAAACTGCATTCTAAAGGTGGCACATGTACGATTAAAGAAGAAACAGAGATTCTGCTTTAAGAGTGATTACTTTGATAATACGAGCTAAATATGCTTTACAAGATGAATGTCTTAGCCCGCATGATCACCCCTTTCCCATCTGGTCTGTGTGAATCTGCTGCGTGCCAGTTTAGAAACAACAACAGCAGATGAGCTGCAGTAACACATGGTGGTTAACAGCACTCATTTAATGCTTGCTGTTCAATTTAATTGAATATCTTGCAGTTTCTTTTATGTGAAATGGCACAGTAAAATTCTTATGTAAGGTAATTCTGGGTGATGCATAATGTCAAAAAGGGTTAAACGATGTCCTCTCTGTAGTAAGAAGATTAGGCTTTAAAGATTTTTCAAACAAATCTGTCTTTTTGAACTGGTCTTTGAAAGTGTGCTAAACAGATTTTTCATCTGCTGCTACCTGTGTGTGTTCAGAAGATAAATGTTCCTTTAGCCTAACTCTGATCTTCACTCATGCCTGTAAGCAATTACACTGATTGTCTATTAGTAATCTGAGAGCAGGAGTCATATGCACACTATTTCATGAATATTAATATTCCATTTGCTTAGCAACCTTATCTGCCCAGAGCCTTTCAAAAGCAAAAGACTTGTCCAAAAAATACATGAGCTAGTTTTCACATCTAGAACTGTAAGTGTGCATTACGCCCTCTATATAACAAAGTTTGCATTCCTGTAAATTGCTATATATATAGCAATATATATAGCTATATATACATATTGCTGCTGTCAGAACAAAACATCCATGTTTGTCATTTTTCAGTTTTTTGACATAATTTGAAAATATCTGTTGGCATTTACATTGTGTGTAAATTTCATGATGAATGGGCCAAAATTAGATAGATAGACAGAGATGAATGGACCAAAATTATATGGAAAAAAAATCTAATCGACTTACATTAGAAGTAAAGTTACCATTTTGGAGATATAAGTGTTTTTTTTTTTTTTACAACAGCGATATAATATACACACATATATATATATATATATATATATATATATATATATATATATATATATATATATAGATTGATAGATAGATAGATAGATAGATAGATAGATAGAGTAAAACAAAGGATACTTTAAAAATCATTCAAAATATGATGAATAAATACTTTCCTAACTGATGTAAAAGAGAAGGGGCTGCTAACAGAAATCAGTCCTGTGTACCAGAGATACAGTCTGTGCCTAACTGTTGCGAAATGAGGTATAAGAGGGTAATTGAGCAAAAAGGACCTGATAAATGACTAGCAAATTACTCTTCCTGCTCTTAGCTCGAAATTGCCAGCCAACTTCCAAATAAAGGTGGCAGTGATTAGACAGGGTCATCAGGGGTCAACATTTGAGAGCACAACAGTGGACAGAAACCAGAGGCTTCAATTGAGAAGCAGCAGCAATCATAATCAATGAACAGCATGACCATCAACTGGACAATGTTGCTTCTATACTGAAATGGGAAGAACAACATACTATGTGATTCTACAAAGAAACCACTATTTACAGTGTTAAATAAGTTTGAGAAACTCTCTGAACACCATTTATGATTATTTTATCTTTATCCTTTCATAATACATTAACAAATAAAACAATTAACAATAAACAAATGATGACTGAGGTGTCCCAAGACCACTTTTGAGCACTGTTTGTATGTATATATTTACTCGATTATTAATTTATTAAACACATCTACATGTGCTTCAAACGACAGCCACTTCTTCCCCAGATCTGTTTCTGTTTCCAGAATTAACACTATTTATTACCTACAATGGCTCAGTATCATTGCTTGGTATATAACCGACATTACATTGAGCTTCCACAGCCCAAATCTCCATGCAGCTCTCTTATGTGTGTAGCTTTATAGGACTGTTACAGAGAAATGCTCACCAAAGAACCTTTGCACAGAAATGAGTTTAAACAAGCAATGAGGCAGATGCTATTTTCTAGGACTGTGCAATACAGCGTTTTTGATCATTATTGTGATGTTGGCTTTTGCATTACTGATATGACAGAAGGCTGCAACACGCAACTTAACACTTCTACAAATTACAGCACAATTGGATCAGCCTCAGCTGAGTCTCTGTGGGTGTTCTGATGAATCAAGGCACTGTCAAAATCTAAAAAACATGCATGATTTTGGTAACAATAACGCACAGTGATCTTTAATAATGTCACCAGAAGTTCACTGAATTGCAGTATGGTATTTGTGCAGCCCTAGTGAGTATCAATAGAATATAACTGATACAGTCGTATGCAAAGGTTTGAACACTCCTGTTTAAAGTATGTTTGGTTGATTTCCTAAATAAAAAAAAGAACACATCCTCTACAGAGAATAAACTTAAATATGGCATTTTTTCTAATATGGCAAATATTGGTAATTTTCAGCATTTATTTGCTGAGTATAAAGTTAAAAAAAAATGAAATGTGCCATTACTATTTCACAGGCCGCATTTTATGTTTTCTATTTTCCCCAATATGTTATATTCAGCAAATAAACAGTAATTAGACATTAAAAGCAAAAAAATATGATCAGGGCACCCAAACTTTGTAGCCAGAATATTGAACTACTGCCTTAATTTCCCTTGTAAATACACGCTTCCTTTGACAGAATGACATTTAGCTCAATTTTTTAATAGTTCATCTGGGTAAATTTTGGACTCATTTATATTTTGTCGCTGTCCAAAGAAAAACAAGTATCTCCAAAATGGTAACTTCACAGTAGAGGGCAAAAACATTCTTTACTTTCAATGTAAGTTTATGTAAAGAGATTTTATTTGAAGCAAATACAGTGTAAAGGATGATTTGTTTTTGAAATATCGCAGTACTTTTTGCAAAAAGCTCAAATATTGTATTGTGATTATGCCCCCAGTATCATGCAGCCCTACTATTTTCTTGTCAAGTGCATTGCATTATGTATTAGATGTAGACACTGGCAATGTTATGATATTATGGTGTTATTGTAATAAATTTCTATTATCATCATACACAGTATGCTTTTCTGAGCATATCGTGGATATCATCAGGAGTTAAAGAACAATGACCAACTACATGTTTCATTACAAAGGGAGCATAATTAGCCCTGTTTATGTATTATGTAATATAAATCATTTTGTCGTTGATAACTGATTTTAAATGTGGCATTAACTATGCGTTGTGTCTGAATGCCAAAATATTATGATCTAATATTTAGTGGCCAGTCACAGTGATCAAAATGAGCAACAAAGCTAGATGATCGAACAGATGGTGGCTTATACAGTCAGCGTAGTGACACAGACAACTCTAATGTCTTTGATTAAGCTAAAGTCAAAGCTAAAACCATTGAAGAACACATTCTACTTCATATGTTTTACAATCGGATCAAAATTATGCAACATTCATAGTAAATACTGTACTGTGATACTGCCATAAATAACAGAAAAAAGAACCTTCCACATGCCTTCCCCCAGAAAACAATCTGAGGAACCTGGCAAGGAATCTTTTCCTCTCCATATTTCTTTTTATCTCCAAACCCACACTGAACCTGACTGTGTAAACCAGATTAGGCTACACGTAAAAGTTGCTCTTTTCTACAAAATTTAGGGCCAAACACTGAAACACTGATCAGAAAGCACATCCACAACACAAACAGACCCAATAGAACAAGTATACACACAGATAAACAGATGCAAATGAAATATTATTGGGAGAAAAGGATTATTCCTCTCCCCAGCAGGAGTTCAGACACAATACACTCGTATTCAGAGAGACAGTTAACAGCCGAAAGCCTGATGGAAGGATCCATCACAGGGCACTGGGGGATTCCTCTCCAGCTGTTGCTGATATTTTACAGTGCACAATGCAGCCAGAGCAGAGAGCTGTGGTATTACTGTAAGAGGATAATTGCCTCATTATCCTGCTGAGAGCAAAGATATGGTGGATAGTCTACTTCCTCGTTAGAGAGGTTCAAGTGCTTCAGAGCTGTTGTTATGCTACCAAGCTATGTGTGAAATGTCAACAGCCAAGAAGTAACCAGATGAGGCAAAACGCAGCGTGATAGTTTGGCTAAGATCTAAAATCTTAACAGATAAAGCTCTGGCAGAAATGCCCTAAGAAGAAGGAGAGAATTCTGGAGGCTAAGAAATGAATAACAGCAACTGTTTTCACATGTAAAAAATATGTTTTTAAGATATTTGTCGAACATTTTCACAACGTCGCTGTATCTCTATTGTTGTGTTTTTTTTATGTTTTTATACATTTTATACATTAACTCCAGCTACCCTTTACATCGTGTGAGCAACTCATGATGAACGGACCAATAGAAATTGTCCAAAATTAAATGGAATAAAATCATTTCTAGTAAATGTAATACTATTTTGTTCTGACAACAACAATTATGTAAAAATACACAGAAATGTTATGTACTTTACTGCAAATGCACTTAAAATTAAGGTTTCTAAGTGGTACATGGCCTAAATATATGGTTCTAGGAGAAATCTTTAATTGGGTATACAACCTTTACAAGGTTCTTCACACTCACACTTTTCTTTACATAAGTGGTTTTTTTAAAGAAGGTTCTTCAAGGAACCAAGCACCGTTCTTCTATAGCACCGCTCCAAAAAATGCTTTCTGACACCTTTAGTTTTAGCACTTGAATGTGAAAAATACTGATGCTGAAGTAAGCAGGCGCACCTCAAAGTTTTGCACATTTATTTCTTAATATTTTATATTTTAATAGTTGGAAAAGAATATGAATGAAAAAACAGCACCAAAAATTGGCCAAAAATGGCAATTATTATTTAAGCTAATTCCATTTATTTGACAGCAAAAAAAGAATAATCATCACTAAGAGAGGATGAGAGATGTGCGCAGTGATGTAACACTCTCTCACTGATTTACTTCCCTGCACAGAATGTATTTTTATACAGAAATGTATAAAATGCTTACCTCGTGCCTTTATCGCCCATGATGAAGATTCTTATGTGGCGGATTCTCTCTGCTTTCAACTTGAAGAAAAAAAGAGCTGGAGTGAAAAGAGAGGAGAGAGAAGAGGCAGGGAGAGAGAGAGAGAGAGAGAGAGAGAGAGAGAGAGAGAGAGAGAGAGAGAGAGAGAGAGAGAGAGAGAGAGAGAGAGAGAGAGAGAGAGAGAGGCTGTGAGAGAGATTCACTTATGGACTCAGGTTGTGCGGTACAGCCTCTGTCATGTAGATGTCCTCCCTGCAGTTTGAACGCTGTCCAGCTGAATGTGATTACAGCAGCATCTCCTCTGCTTTTTTGTCTGTTAAAAGAGGCCCCCCTCCCCAAAAATGAAGCAAAAGCAGATGACTCCCCCCCTTCTCTTCTGCTTGGACACGTCCCACTCCGTCCCTCTTCAGTTAGAGCTACAGCATTCCTCAGATAAATTCTGTTGTGGAAAAAAACAAGCCTGCATTCTAAATCCTGAGCTTTTGAGTGAGGTACACTGTGAGGAAGAGCTGCTGCTGCCCTTCGCTACATCTCCATCTCCCTCCCACACTCTCTTCCGCTCTCTCCCTCTGTCACATGCACACATGCACTCTCTCTCTCACTCTTTGTCTCTTCTCTCTCACTCTCTCTCTCTCTCTCACACACACACGCGCACACATAATTTCCCACCCTCTCTCACCCTCCTCTTTTGAAGTAAGAGGGGATGTGTACAGGCTGATATCCAGCACTGAGGAGGAGAGGTTTTTTTGCTCACCGTTGCTCTGCAGACATTAACAGAGATGACAGAGGAGCAAAATTCAGAGCACACATTCCCTCGAAGCACGCAGCTTTACTGGCCCTGCCATAAAAGAAGCAGAGAAACAAAGAATCAGCACATACACTCTGCATGCTTTCAAAGAGCTCTGCAGCGATGACACCCTACATTCTTAAAGAGCCCATACTGTGGAGAAACAATTATTTTCCAGACTTTTAGAGTTTAATGTAGTATGTACACAAACCACTCTCCCCAGACCATGCAGTCCATACGCTGAAATGATGCTTCAATAACAAACCATTTTGAAATCATTGTTTTTGTGATGTCACAAAAACCAATGCATTGACATACATGCAAATGTTTATGGCACTTGAGAAAATGATATTTAAAAAGCTTTTTATCTGGGCAGTAAGTGTAGTTCAGAAAAACACTAATATTGCCTAAAAATCTTCAATCTAAATGAACATTAATACAAAAAGTACTGATTATATGCATGTTGTTCCTTTTTAACCCTTTCCAAATCTCTCCTTGAAGAAGCTCTGTAATATTTGAAGTTATTTTCTTATACTTCATATATACTTATATTTTTTTGTAGTTATTTTCTTATACCTGGTTTGGCTAATTAAATCAAATCAGTTGTGCTGGTGGTTGAATTCAAATATTCTCTACAATGGCTGGGGGCGTCAAGGAGGAATCTAGAACCAAAAATCGAAAGTTATTTTTTATTATTTTTAATCATTAATCTTCATTTTTAAATATTAAACATTTAAGCATGAACTAAATTAACATTTAGTTGTTTTAAGTCTAATTTTATTTGGTGATTTTACAAGCAAATTGTCCAGATAAATGGTTTCAAACTATTTGCTTGGCTGAGTGGCTGAGACTTTAGGACAGTATTGTTTATCTGCCTTTTCAGCCTACAGCAGTTTAGCCCCAGTCATTCACACTGAAGTTTATGGAGTCTCTCACCCTGGACAGATCTTTTTTATTTAGGCACAACACAGAGCGGCCAATCAGAACAGAGCTCATTTATATATATATCAGTCCTAAATACACAGTAACAAAATCAGCTTCTAGAATACTAAGAGATATAGAAAGGGTGGAAAATGGTCTTATACAAATGAATTATGACTGGTTATTGGTGCATAAAACAACAAATGGATCTCAGGAAAAGAAAAAAAATGATATTAAAGAAAAATTAGGATTTGGGCCCTCAGATGTGGCAGAAAGACCCTTTGAAGTGATGCCATATGTACTGAAACAGTCATTATAACCTTAAAACTTCATTATACTTACAACTTAATATAATTATTTTGTTTCTTTGGACAATGATGATACACTGTATGGGCAAAAGTATTGGGACACCTCCACATTACACCCACAGGAGCTTTTATGACATCCCATTCTAAATGCATAGGCATTAATATGGAGTTGATCCCCCTTTGCAGCTATAACAGCTTTCACTCTTCTGGGAAGCTTTCTACAAGATTTTGGGGTGTGTCTGTGGGAATTTTTGCCCATTCATCCAGAAGAGCATTTGTGATGTCAGACACTGATGTTGGGCGAGAGGGCCTGGCTTGCAATCTCCGTTATAGTTTATCCCAAAGGTGTTCAATGGGGTTGAGGTCAGCCAATCATGCCTTTATGGACCTTTGTGCACTGGAGCTCAGTAATGCTGGAACAGAAAAGGGCCTTCCACAAACTGCTCCCACAAAGTTGGAAGCATAGAATTGTCCAAAATGTCTTGGTCTGCTACCAAGTCTGCCGCTTCATGGCTGAGCTGTTGTTGCTCTTAGGTGCTTCCATTTCACAATAATAGCTCTTACAGTTGACAGGGGCAGATCTAGCAGGGCAGAAAATTCACAGACTGACTTGTGGCAGAGGTGGTATCCTATGACAGTGCCACGTTTAAAATCACAGAGCTCATCAGTATGACCCATTCTACTGCTGCTGTTTGCTTATCGATACTGCAAGGCTATGTGCTTAACTTTATCCACCTGTTAGCGATGAGTATGGCTGAAACACCTAAACTCAATAATTAGGAGGTGTGTCCAAATACTTTTGTCCATATAGTGTATGTAAATTAATTTAAAGCATGCTGTTCATGCAGTTTAATTTCCACATACGGAATGTATAGATGGGGTAAATGGTATGTTTTAAAACAATATTTATGTACTACACCACATTCTTCTATTAAAAAAACAAGACATAGGCTCTTTAACAGTATTTCAACTAAGATAAAGAGCTTTGATCGTTTCTGTGTATTTTTACATGTGAAAATGTCTGCGAAATATCTGATAATGTACTTTTACATGTGACAAATACTGCATATCCAAGCCAATAAACTTTTAGGAATCTTTATTTTAAGAGTATTTTGCTAACCGCACAGAAACATAAATTAAAGAAAAAACAACAACAAAAAGTAAAGATAGCAAGGATAAAAACCCTGTTTTGTGAGGTACTGTATCTTCTAAATAAATTCAGTATACATGTACTTCAACAGTTCTATTGCTATTTGTCCATCTTTCAAAAATATTAAAATAATCAAAAATGCATTGAGTACATTTGTTTATGTTCACCAACCTTTATTTATAAAGTTCACTTAAAGTCAATTTCTCAACATCTTCAATGAGTTGGCAGAAGCATATTTAAACTCTTCCTTGTGATGCGCAAAAATGTATTTATTTAAATGTAACCTTTTAAATCTTAATGACTTTCAAACTTTGGTCTCCCAACTTCTGTTTAGCATTTCTGTTGGCCATGTTCCATTCAGCCCAGCTTCTTCTCCACAATAGGTACATTTTAAGGGTTTCTTGTCCTTTAGAATGCTGAATAATTCATGAGCTCTCTTGTTTAAATGTTCTAATTTAATCATTTCTTTTTCCACAGTAAAATATAATTTTGAATAATTCATGGTGGCTATTAATAATGTAGTACTACCAAAATCATATATTAATAGCTAGGACCCTACAGTAGCTATATCACTTTATCAGCGACACTTTGTCTGCAACATCCTTCTGTAGTTTGGATTGCAGCACTGCAGTCATTGCATATTCTTTGACGTTCTGCTGTAACGTGCAGTGTGGGATACATACACTGCTGAAAGCTAATATTATCAGCAATATTGGATAACCCTGACTGAATAGATAACAGCTGTACAAATGCAATACCCAATGTCCTCTGTGAACAACTGCTCCCTAATGTCATGATATGATATGTGTGAGGTCACACCAACTTGTCAATTGATCACTGTTCATCACTTTTTATCCACTGTGAAGTTACAAACATCACAGGGGTCACATGTTAACATCTTTAAAACACCTGACAGATGAAGAATTTGTGTGAAAATCATGCATTAGGGTGAATTTAACCATTAAGGCTTTAATCACGTATCAAAAATGCCAGACAAAGAAGCTTTCATATAAATATCTCTCACTCAGAGTATCAAAAATCAACCATGCAAATTCTTGATCGAAAAGGCCAAACTTTCCCGCTCCTCTGCAAGTTGATAGGTTCTAGCTAACTTGGATGAGTGGTGCACATGAGCTCACAGGCTCTGATGTTGCTGAGCACTCAGTTCTGTCATTTGGGGCAGGTGAAGATGATCACTATTTGCCTAAACAGCAGTTAATACAGATAACAGATTTAAAGGCGGAAGACCACAAGACAGAACATTCGAATGAGAAAAATCCTTAAAGCTGAAACAGAACTAGCCGACTTTACACTGAACCTGCTCTTTCCTGGATTCTCTGCAATATCAAAATGGTCTAAAACAGGCATGTAAAACTGGGGACCTTCTAAGCCAAACTGCTGCAGTGATTAGTGTTTACCCTCATCTAACGCTGTGAATACAGTTCATTAAGGCCTTGCAAATGATGAGCTGAATCAGGTGTGTTTAATGAGGCACCATCCTGAAGTCTGAAGTGTTTAGGCCTGCTCCTTGGGTCACGTCACTTATGGTCAAAAGTAGTGCTGGCCAATGAAACTAATATACAAAAGTTTGAACACCCCTGGTCAAATAACATGTTTTGTTGTAAAATATGTTTCTCTTACAACATAACAGAGAACATACTTCTGAACATTTTAATATACAGCTGCTGGTTTATTTGCTGAATTTAACTTACTGGGGGGAAAAACATAAAATGTGTACAAGTTCTGTTTTTTATATTCAGTTGTTTTGTGTTAAAGACAATAAATAATTCAATACACAGAAATTGTACCCTAAAATTTGCAGAAAAATGCTATATTTAAGTGTGCTCTCTGTAGAGGATATGCTAACTCATTTTCACTCACAATCCAGCTTCCAAAAAAGTTAGGATGCTGTGCAAAATGTAAATAAAAACTGAATGCAATGATGTGCAAATCATTTAAACCCTATATTCATTCAAAATAGTACAAAGACAACAAGTCAAACATTTTGAATTTAATGCCAGCAGCACATTTCAAAAAAGTTGGGAAGGGGACACGTTTACGACTGTGTTGAGTATCATTGTCATTTACTGTGTGCTTTAGAATGTTTAGGTAACAAAAGCAAGGTTAAAATCCACATAAATAAAAAAATAGAACGCTTTAGTCCTGAAGCTTTCAGGTTAATGTTTATAACACTGCGTAACGTTACCTTTGGTGCAACTTTAAGAAAAGAAAACAGTCCATTCAAAATAAGATATCTCAGGTGAGTAAGACATCCTTTTAGCATAATCACTATCCTCAGGAAGTATGGATTTATTAATTTATTAATACAAACTTAAATATCACCTGATGTTATTAGTATCACCCGGGACTAGTCAGAGCAGACTGAAGAAAAACAGGAGCTCCAAAATACAGCCAAAGACAGTCAAAATGTCTGACTGCAAAGATGAGCAGAAGCAACTATAACCAGTCCAGATAATGCAATACTAATCAAATGAAAGAAATTTCCCAGCATTTATATTGATACTGTGACTACAAAACAAAAATTTACTGTGATTTTTTTTAAATATTAAAATAATTGTTAAAAAGCATGTTAATCACACAACTCATAGGACTAACCATGATGTTCACAAACTCGACATGAGGGTATACAGTGGCAAGAGCATGTGAAGCATGTGAACCCTTTGGAATTACCTGCATTTATGTATAAAGTCATTTTAAAGTATGGTCTGAACTTCATCCAAGCTACAATAAAGAACAAATGCAATCTGTTTAAACTATTTAAATGAACACAAAATAATGCATTTTTTCCATCTTGAAAACATAATTTAAACTTTCACAAAATAGGTTGGAAAATGTATGTAAATCCTTAGACTAAAGACTTTAAAGCTAATTGGAGTCTAATCAATGAAATGAGATTGGAAGTGTGGGTTAGAGCCACTTTGATTCCTAAAAAACTTTGCTATTCATAAGAAGTTCTAATGATGTGAACCATGCCACACAAAAAAAAGAGATCTCAGAAGACTTATGATCAAAAATTGGTCACAATAATTGGAGCTGGAAAGGGTCACAAAGTAGTCTCAAAGACTTTAGTTATTCATCAGCCTACAGTTAGACAAACTGTCTATAAATAGAGAACCGATCACTGGGTCTGGACCAATCACAATCATCAAGGAAAAAAGAATTCCCAAGTTTATCAACATCTTCTACAGGATCTTGTCAGCGGGGCTGTTCTGTAAATGTTTAATTGGTGCACACAATAAAGACATGAACAATTATAATTAGCTTTAGTTTTAGCACATTGTGTTTGTCTACACTTCAGACTTAGATAAAGAACAGATCACATTTTAGGACCAATTAATGTAGCAAACTAGGCAATCCAAAGGGTTCACTTACTTTTATCTTACCACTGCATTCATATGAGTTCCAGAATCTTGTTTTTTAACTTGATCAAGATGAAAGAAAGCATGTTTCTTTGGGTCATGTGACTTTTCTCCAATGTATGCCTTGGCAACCCCAACCAATTAATATCATAAAAATGATGCTATCTGGCAATGCCACAGGCCTCTAGTGTGTTCTAGTGACTTTGTCCCACAGAAGTAATACAGTGTGGCATACCTGGATTATACTGTGAATCACTCTGTCCCCTGCAATGACATGCTGTCTCCAGAAAGTTCTTGCCACTCCACAGTGTCTGAATAACACATTGTTAAAGACATCACAACACTTTGCATCATGGTAAGAAATTTATTCACCTTTTAGTTTAGGCACCAACAGCACACACAATCCAAATTAGAATGTAAACAAATCAGAGCTTTCCCTTGAGAAAACTCCACTGGATATCTTTAACAAATGAGTATGTAAAAGTATCTGGCTAGAAAAAGTCCACTAAAAGCCCTCGGAGCGGTTGCAGAAGCACTGCCCACAGATCTAATATATAATAAATACAGAAATATATTAAACATAATAATAGAATTGGTGTATTTCTGTGCACTCAAGTAGTTAACATTAACAATGGAAATACAAATACGGCAAAAAGTACAGGGCACCTCTCTTCATACGTTTCTTGGCATTAGTCTTTTCCGTTTTTTCCGAAAAAAAGAGTGAAATTTTGACTTTTGTGAATGTCAGCAAACACATGCTTTTGCACACTCGGAGTCAGTAATTTATGAAAAGAATCAACAGAGAGGTATCTGAAGGATCCAAACTGCTGTATAAAGTCAAACCAACTTGATGCTTGCATGCTGGCTTGTGTAGCATTGGTTGCACTGAAACACGGGAGTACAGTTGGAAGATGGAACATGCTGGACCGTTCCTCACATGCTGAAGATGGATGACTGTAGGTTATTGAGTCTGGTAGGCAATCCAACAACAGGGAGCAGAGCCACGCGTCTCCAGGTTCAGACGTCGCTCCAGAGAATGGCCCGCCGGCTCTTATCTACACTCACCACATACTCGCCTGACATTGACCATGCCACTGCATTAACTGAGCATCTGAAATAAACAGTGCAGTCTATAAGCAGAATTGTTCATCTCCACAATTTGGCATTTGCAAGACATGTCCATAAACAACAGAGCCATAAAAATATTCCTGATGGCTGCAGTGGAGAGTTACAAATGAAACCATGTCATCTTACAGCTAAAAGCTTCACTCTAGAAATGAGATCTTACATTTGTAATGTTCGGTCTATGACTGAATATACTGAAAGTTAAACCAGTCTGAATGCATGTAAACATATTTAGTCAATACAGCAACTATATGATAGGCTGAACATTATGCTGACTTAGTTGACAAAACTACAAACAAACTGTTATAAAACAAGAATTGTTCAAGAATTGCTACCACATGAAGTATTTTTTTTAGGTTGAACTGCCAAACCATTCTTTATAGTATAAACTGACATCTCTGAAATGGAGTAAAATTCATTCTGCCAAGTACTGAGGTGAAAAGCTATCTTTAAAGGGGCATTCCAGTCTGAGCATTTAGTATGTTATTTGCCATGTTATGTGTTATCCTATAGTGCAGCATTGCATCTGTCAGCCTCAGCATTTTCATAATTTTTGAGTTTGATCAATTCACAAATTTGTATCCTTTAATTTATCAATGCGCTCTCACTACAATGCCCAGCATGCATTGTATAAATGTTGTACAATCATTGGGAATCCCACCCAATTAAAGAAACACTGATACAGTGATGTTTCAAATGTTGCTCCCACCTTTCAGATTCATCATCTGAAGGGGGTTTTCCAAGCACTTAAACTAGAAAATCTCCCTTTCAGGACTATTGTGGCATCACTGTAGGAGGTGAGTAGTCATGTTTACAACAGATGTAGTATTAGTAAGATTTTTCATTTCGGCCAATGTGCCCCTTTAAGGTCATATTACTTTTTGAACTGGCAGGACAGGTCCTATATTATAACAAACCAGTCCTTACCTTAAGCAAATCTTCATTTCATGTTTTGACTTGACAAGATATTTTAAAGAACAAGTAGCTAAAATGTTTGCCCATTTATTCAGAAGATGCTATTCAGGTATAATATAAGCTATTATAAGAGAATCCACAGATCTGATAATAACCTACTTGCTTACCTAAATTAAGCAATCAAACAAACAGAATAGCTGCCGTAATTGTCCTGTAAGCCAGAACAAAGTAAAAACATAAACTGAAAGTCCGTAAGGACTAGGTTGGAAAACATTGCTGTGTACCTTTTCCTGAATGGATATTACTTAATATTGAAATTGAGATGGCTATGAGATGTCAAATTCATTGACAATGCACACCAAACTATGAATGATTTTAGCATTTCAACAAAAAGAAAATCCCTCTCATAACCTCCTGCTTTCTTTCAACAGCAGAAACCATTTGATCTTGTGCAGAAACTGTTTCAGGCTAGCAGTGGGATTCTAGATACCTGTGCATATCCGGGAGTTGGGTTTCCAGCTTGCCTGTGCTAACGTTCCAGACGTACAGAGCACCATCTGCAGAGCCAGCCGCCAGGTAACATCCATCTGGACTAAAGACAGACGTTAAAAGCAACACTCAAGTAATGCCTAGCTATATGTTTTTCAAATACTTATCCTCTGCCTTGTGATCTTTCTGGCAAAAGTATAATTATTCAGTGACCTTTTGGGTGAAGGTGCCTTGTTCTTAAAGGCTAATGCAGTTACTAAATGCACTGAAAACAGCTGAGTGCTTTAAATTTTGAAATTTGATATTTTTATGGCGCAGCGCCACATAAACATTATTCCCTATTTCATTTTATTTCTTAGTGTATTTTCATAAGAATGTATAAGCCCATCCCCAGGACTTTAAAGTTAACCGCTTAAATGGCCAGCTCCCACCAGCAAGCCCAAAGTGTTGTTATACACTTCTATAACCTAAGTGTGTAACCAATTTGCACTGAAGTCCCTGTAGTTACTGAATAATAAGCCGTAGTATGTAATAAGCAATCAAGCAAACAGAATAGCTGCTACAATTGTCTTAAATGTTAAAATATGGGGTTAAAAAACTTTACTTGGAAGGTTTGCTCTAGATGCTTATACATTTACATAGCTTTTAATTACAATAACTATTTATCTATTAAATTCTCTTTAATTTTTCCTAACTCTAACCCCAATCCCAAGCCTAAACCTCAGCATGGGCCTAAACTAATCCAAACCAGATAGTTTATTAATAACTTTTTAACCACTACAGATAATATACCAGGGGCCATCCAAGTAAGGTGGGGTCGAATTCTGCAAAGATGTTCCCTTATTCACAATAATTGACTACAAGAACTTGTAATACATTTGTCAATTTAAGCTCCTTCGCTCAAAGCTAATTTAAGGACTGAACTGAAAGCCCCCCTCACATACATACTCTACACTCACACCTCTTTTGATACTCTTTTGTACTATCTGGAACTTTGCTGCTAATACAGTTTACACTTTGTTTACTCAAGTACTGTGTATATCCTACCTCAGTAACTGCTGTGCTCACGTATGTTATCTGACTGCGTTTACTCACAGATCACAGCATGTTAAATAATCTTTGCACCTTATTCCACAACCCTACCTCATGCTCAGAAATGAGTGCTGTGTCAGCGCGGCACTGTCCTGTCTGTTTACTGTGTCTAATGTCTGTTTTATTTATTGTATTGTTTCTAGTCTAATTCTTTTTGCACACTTACACCTGCACGTTACACTTTGTACTATCTATTTTGTTTCATGTTGCACCGTGTTCCTTGGACGGAATGTAATTTCTATCCACTGTGTACTTGTACATAGATGGAATGACAATAAAAGCCTCTTGACTTGACTTGACTATATCTTTAGCTAATACTGCATTACCCTAAATTCTGCCAAAAAGATGGCACATTTTTAATAATCAGGATCATAAACGATTATCTGGTTAATCAAAGGGATGTAAAAAGCAACAATAAAAAAAAAAAAAAAGCTTTTGCTAAAGTTAGCTTATGGCTGCAGAGACTTTTTAGATGACTGGAGGTTAAAATGTGGAAAAACCTTTTATTATTCAAAAATAGCAGAACAGAATATCAGTAGGTTTCCTTGTCGGATGAGTAAGGGAAGTTACCTCTTTAGAGAAGATGAGGTCAACAATGTCTTCTACACAAGTTTTCACCTCATGGCGTTCCAACATGCTAGTTTATCGGATAAATATATTTTCTCATGAAGGTGGGATCAAATTCTGTTTCCAAACTGGTACTGGCTAACATCAGCTAGAGTAGTTAGAGTAGTTAGTCTAGTTAGCACACTATCTCTACCTCCTCAGTCACATACTTTACAATGTGTTCTTGACAACAAATTTGCATTAAGGCAATCGTGTTGTGTAAGAGCAAAGTATAATATTTATGAAGAGTTTCACTCCAAAATGCTGTATAATCTTTTGTAACAATTTCCGATATAATGAGTTTTTGAAAAGAATAATAGCTAACGTATAATGGAACACATTTTTATTTCTCTAATAAAGGTGGTATTTATCGTAAAATAGCAGTGATGTTTCTTGTTTGTGTAAAGCTTACTCCAAACAATAAATATATTGCATATTCTTAAAAACAGCGAATAGTGCACTTTAGAACAAAACCCTTCATGTATACTCACAAATACGAGCAAAACTGCAATAAAAACACAACAAACACCAAATAGTGATTTCAGTATTGGAATACTGAAATACTGGCAGCTCGAATGGTTTACTAATTACTGAAGCACCCATGCACATCCCTATATGAAATATGTATAAATTTAAAAGGACTTAAAATTTTGGGACTGATTTGCTTTAATAAGTTGCACAGGAGTGTTTCCTCATAATACAAAAATGTCAGTCTGATCGGGAAAACACAGTGGAAATGCCTTAATATGGCTCTAAAAGGGTTAAACTGACTTAAAAGGTCTCGGGTGGAAAATGTCCCATAATGATAAGTTATTACAGTCACAGTATGCCTTCATTTTAAATTTAATTTAGACGTTGGTCAGATGCTCTCATCTAATGATTCTGACCGATCTGCTATGGTCTCATTAATTCATCAGCCCTTTCATTAGAGCACCATTTACTTAAGGACTAAGCTTAATCTGTGTGTAAAAGGCTCTGTTTCTTGGCAGCAGTGGTGAGCTGCCGGTGCCGTGGTGAGCATATTCAGCCCGGCGCTGGGCTCTGGACCTGAGGAAAACGTTGAGGGGGAGGGTGATAAATCTTCCACTAGGCCCCTCCTTCTCCTAGCTCACATTACCCAGGCAGACCCAACCTTAAAAAAAATTACGCAATGCATTCTGGTTCTACTGTTGCCATAGAAACTGCTAAGTGTATGACTCAACTGGGAGTCAGCCACTCACCAGAAGCATAAATGGGGCCTCAGCCTTTGTTATTTCTGTATTGCTCTCTGTCTCTCTTTTCTTCTCTCATCTTACATCACACCGAGCATTTACACTACACTCAGTGATCATGCAAAGAAAATGGTAGGGTCACACTGTGAAAAGGGTGTGTGATGGAGGAGGAGGGGGCTAACTAAAGGCTTCCAGCAATTCTCTTACGCTGACCTTTACGAAAGCATCTGGGATACTGCAAAAGGCCTCTTCCCAGAATCTTCTGGTTCACATAATATAGTACATAATCTGCTTCTTTCTCTGAAATCTTTTTCAAACCGTCATTATCATTTACATTCAAATTGACCACAAACGTTTTATCAGAGGACAGCTGAATGTTACTCTGCTTATAAGAACTGGGTCTTCCTATTGACCCAGCATTTAAGGAGTACAGTTTTGAGTGCAAAATCTGGGCTGTTGCTCACATGCATCACTCTCGGTTCACACAACGAGTAAAACAGTTGTGAAGCCTGCCTGTTTTATCACACAAATGAGGTGGAGCTAAAGTGTGTATGGATAAAATACTATTAGTTTAAAAGCTAAACGAAGTATTCTAAAAATGATTGATATTTCATAAGTATTTGGTATCTCATGTTAAATATGATCTTTCAAATCCAGGTTTTTAACATACATATTTACAGTTTTCCAGACTGAGATTACAACTTGTGCTGTGCCACATTTTAATCTAACATGCAGTAGTTTGCCCTAAAGCTAGCACTGCAACTAGCACTCAGGCAGCAAACTTTCCATTAAATTAAATATTTGGGAAATGTTCTGTCCTCCCCCTCAGCTGAAATGGAGATTTTGATTGGTTCTACAAATGTGACTGTATGTGTCTATATGTCAGTGGTCCATGATCTGTGCATGTTATGGAGAGTGGAAGTTATTTTTTTGGATGTAAGCATCATGAAATAAAAGTAGTGGGTCAAACGCCCGCTCACCCACAGCAGCCTTGTATAACAATATTTCAACACACAGACACAATGCTCTACCTGTGCCACATTTAAAAACAACCATTAAGAACTCATGATTTTTACAGATCATGATTTGTGTTTAGTGTTTCACATTTGTACTGCGCTGAATCTGACAGGATTTTTTTTGGACTGGCTGGACAGCTGGACTGCTTGTAATGTTTTTGCATCTCACCTGAAGATGGCCTTGGTACTGTCACTTCCACATTTGAAACCTTCTGCCCTAGAATGACCATACAGAAAAAGAACAAAGAAAACTTCACTTATTACTTTTGTTTAAACAAATGATTTACTGTTGCATTTCCATCTACGTTGGTACAATAAAAATGGTGACTTAAGCCAGGAATATGTGAAAATTGATTCTGCTCCAAAATGTGCAGAGGTTTATTTTATCACACTTTAGTAAAACTAAATTAAGGTGTACATGTAAGATATGTGAACAGAGAACTTAACAAATCTGAAGTGCTTCAGTACAACTAACTGTGCATGTAAGTTGCACACTGATTACTGTTTAAAGACATGCATTTATTCAGTGATGGCTGGTAGAGATTGGTCAACAAAGATGGACTTGGCAAACATTTTGCCCACAATGCAACCACATCAATAGGTGGCAAAATGTGCAATTAAATAAGCTATAAAACACTAATCTTTCAGTGTAACAAACTGTGGATAAATACATCAGATAACATAAGTTTTGTTGCACTACACACTGTTACACATTTAAGACAATTATAAAAAGATAAAATACTAAAATGTAAAGCTCTATGTGGCCTTAAAGTCACAGAATTAAATTTAATACTTTAAGACTTTTTAAGGACCTGCAGACCTGCAAACTTGCTAAAGTCAAAGCTGCATGGACAGGGACAACCCTACTGTACAGCTCTCCGCACCTGAAGGCCATCCTGGCGTTGCTCATCCTTAAGTCCACCAACTGCAGGCTCTCATCCCTCGAGCAGCTTAACAGCTCCCTGTGGTTGGGAGAGATGTCCAATGACGTGACTTTGCCCTGTAAGGGGACCTCCTGTGTGCAGCTTGCTGCCCTACAGGAGTATGACAGATTTAGGAAAAGATGATTGCAGAAAAAAGAAAAGAAGTGATTAAGAAGATGGAAGATTACTTACAGTGAAAAAATCCTTATGTATTGCTTTGCATTCATCTTTCTAGAAAAGGTATTTATGTTCAAATCTCAAAAAATTAGAACATGTTTCCTGTACAAACATGAATGTCAGCTGAGTAATGATTTAGATTTCATATCGAATGCACCAAATTATTTTGAACTGTATATCTAATGGGTAAAAACAACAGAAAAAAAACATATTCTGTTATACTCTTCTTATTACCACAGCTACACACATACTTGTTATCGTGAGGCATTCAACCTTAGTATCTTCAAAGTGTGTGAATTTGGCATCATTCTACATTTTTGAAAAGAAAATTTCAGCATTCCTGTAGTAACTATGATGATTGCAGAGTTCTGTGTGAAACAAGTTAAATGAACAATAATTTCTTTAAACTAAATGAGGAGTTGAAGAAATTGTCCTTAATGTCACTAAATCCAAGAAACAAGACTAGATCAAGCAGATTAGACTCTCCTGAAGCAGCTTAACTTAGGTGTTAAACATGACTAATTTGACTTTTAAATCAGACATCAATAATGTCACTAAGACTCACGCTGCAAGATGCTAATTAGCTGACTCATGCATTTGTTCTCATATCTTCCTTAGGCCAGTGTAACGCAGTCTGTAAGATTACCTCAAAATAATCCTGCAGACAGACTGCACCTTGCCCAAAATGCAGAACCCAAAGCGTTTTATGACATGTGTCCCAAAAAGATTAAAAATGAAAGTGGTAGCATCATTTTAGGAGTGTTACAGGTAGAGCATTAAAATTGTCTTTTTACTGGACATAATACTTTATTACAGAAAAACAGCAGAAATGATAAAAAAAGGTTGTACATGATCTTAGTTATCGCTTTCCTCACAAGTAATGTAAAATTAAAAGCCAATGTAGAGATGCACCAAAATATCGGTCATCAAAGTTTTTCACCTGAAAATGGTCAAATGTGGCACTTTCAGTCTTTGACGCAAAGAGTGGTTAAACGTGTCTAAAATGACAGTTTAAAAAAAAATAAATAAAAAAAATAATAATAATATTTAAAAAGCCGTTTTTTTTCCTCTTTTCTGGTCAGCACAGGCACATTCAAATAGTCTGAGCAGTAGCAGATCAACAGTGAAACACAAACACAGCTCTCTGCAGCATAGGCCTCTGATCTACTCAGTCTTTAGCTTACAGGCTCTGTAGCATTATCTGACTTCATGAAATAGTTTAATATACACAAAAATTATACTGAATTACTCAATATCTTTTGATAATCGATACTGGATCGTAAGTCTCATAGGCTGTTACTGCAAACACATGCGTTCGTTACATCCTACCAGAGTCCATGTCTTTTTCTATTCTTTAAATGATGAACACTAAAGCAACTTGTGTGCTAATAGCTCCCTTTGCTGGAGAAACTTCAGACTGCTAGTCAGGAGCTCCAAAGCCACGTCTACATGCTTCGTGTATTAAAAAACAAGATGTTTTCTGTTGCTATAGCAGATGGGCTCTGGAACTCATCTTTAAATGCGTGTGGGGAAACCATGAAGTAATATATTCTCTTAATGTTGGTTCTCTCAGTTTTAATTCCCAACTTGGTGATTACTGTCTTTGAAGAATCCGCAGGATTATTATGTTCATTTTAAAAGCTTAAATTAAAGAGCAAATTACATATTACAGAAGCGTCTCTTTTGGTCTTCAGTTTGTTGACTGAATGTGTTACAGAATCAAGAATTTTCAATTCAGTGCATCACTAAGCCAATCAACAATGAAATATGGTTAATACTAGTCTATGCCTATGACTTAGACCTACAGTATAACAAGACTGGTAGAACGACAGCAGGACAGCTAAAGAACATGCAGGACAGCACCACAGCAGGATAGCAGATTTAAGTCCATGTAACGATTATTAAAAGAAACATTCTATTGATTTTAGAAATATCCAAATAATTCGGTCAGTCAATCTTTCAGATGTGTCAAAGTCGTTCACAGTGGTTGATGTGAAATGGTGCATGTCTTTACAGCGATGGTGATAGGAACCAGGGCTTGCAATGTCTACAACACAAATACAGGCATTTTATTTACTTTTCAAAACCACCAGTGAACCTACACGTGTCTGAGATTTTATGTGATGTTGAAGTAACATTTTCTTACTTTTCATGTACCTCTCCACCAAAAATAAACTAAAAACAAAAATCTCTAAAATGTCAGACTTTCTGTCTGAACTGACATTGTAAGCTTCTCTGCAATGGCATGTTTCTCGTCAAATAACTCTGAGTGACTTTGTTTTGCATCTTTACCATTTAACTATACAGAAATTAAGAAAAAAATAGTTGGAATTCAAGTACACAGTATATGACTTTATAGCTAAAGACAGGGCCAGTTTTGCCTCAAACATAATGGCTTCAAAATGATTTCTTTTGTTTACAAAAAATGTAATGTTATTAGATGAGTAAGTGCATTACTTCTTATAAGACATTTCTAATAAGAATTCAATAATAAGATTAGCAGTCTAACTGTTTATGGTGATGGTAAAAGTAAACTGTTTACCACAGAATCATTTTAATGGAATAAGTTAATGAGATGGGATGTGTCAAAGACAGTATTGTAAGGAACTTTTTATCCCATTTCACCTTGTTAATGGGGGATTAGAGTGTACAACATCCTTTATCTGTATTACCACTGCACTTGCTGTGTTTTGATATACTATATATAAGATTTCATATAAAAATATTAATATTGCCATGAACAATGGAGATGGATTCTTCAAAGCAGTCTAGTGTTAGAAGGAAGTCTGTGTTTGCTGCAAATATCATACAGTCCTTTTAAATTGTTCTAATGTTATGTCATGCTATTTAACTATATATGCTATATTCCACTACGTTTACTAAAAGCCTATACCCTAGCACCACAGCAGCTGAGGCACATTCAACCAAAAGACCCATGAAGATAATAAATGAGATGACCTTCCCTGGTGGTTTTAGGTCTCTTAACACCTTTATGCTCTCTCATACCTTTAAACAAATTGATTTCATTGATTTCATTCCGTCTCATTGCATCCTGATTGATTCACCTTTGCACAGAGCCAGAGACTCGTAAGAAAGCTGATAAAGCCTTAGCTTTATGTCAGTGAGGAATGCATTCAAATGAAAACATAACAGTACATGTTTGTGCTGCTTGTTTGTTCGCTTGTATAAAGAAGCGAACTAAATGACTTACAAATGTGCACCCTCATGAAACGAGTAATTTATGAGTTTAGAACAAATACTAAGTAAGCATATGAGCATAAAGTCACCACATAAAAGAAAGTCTTACTCTGGAACAAATCTAACAAATCAGCAAAGCACTGCACTTTTTTTCTTACAAATGTCATAACACAGCACAAATCACCTATTACAGAGACGTGAAGAGACAATTAGTATGTGGGCCGATAGTTGCTAGGCGACAGACGAGTTGCCGGCACAGCAGCAGCTGGAGGTTACTGTTGCTGGGAGTGAATGAGAGATGTCAAGGGCTCAGCCTTGGTGTGAATAATAGGCTGATTTTTAAACCTCGAAATGTACAGAAGCAGAAGCATGCTGATTATAGTACTTGGCAACACACACAGATCACACGGCTGTTCTGACCAATCTTTGGATTAAAATGCTACATCATGTCTGCTGACAACTTACACATATCTACGAAAAGCCTGTGAAGATATATTTATAAACAGTTTTCATTTTAAATCTCCTTATTTTTTCAGTATAGAGGTTAAAAGACATCACTGTGAATCAAACACAGTTAGATCTTATGCTGTGTGACAAAATATCTGCGGTATCAGACATATTGAGACATTGGAATGGTTTCCACTGTTTTTTCGCTACACAACTTTCCAAGAGAGATGAAAGTAAGAAGAGAAAAAAACTCCACTGTGCTGCACTCAAAGCACTGTGTGTATTTACATTTACTTGTTTTCTACGAAATAATAATTAATTAATTAAGCTCTTATTGGGTGCTACTGGACTTTGACTAAAATTAAAATAAATAAACGCAAAATGAATGCTGGAACTTCTTTTTTATTCTATATATAGATATATACTATCTCACAACACATATCTGTGGTAAAATAAATATAAATAAATGTCTGTACTGTTACACTACTTTCTTAAGCAAGGGCCTGTTAAATCCAACCTAGTGCTGCACTTCTTAATCCTATCTGGTGGGGAAATCTGTCATTTTCATGTTGGATAGGAGCAACAGAGGCTGCATCTTTAGACACAAGCTAAAACTATCATCAGCTAGAGCAGTTAGAATAGTTAGTAATAAAGCCGCAAACATCTCAATCACGTCCTTAGCAATGTGTGCTTGGCAGCACGCTCACTCGTGTTTGAGTGGCACAATGTAATATATTTACTCACTCACAAATACGAGCTAAACCATAACATTTCACAGTCTCGTTAAAACATAAAAGTGGCATTTTATTGAACTGCTGGTCTCTTGTCTATATTTTCTCTGTCTTCCTGTGATGATACCAGAATACTCGAACAGTGATTTCAGTATATGAATATTGCCACTTCAAATGGTTAATCTAGTACAACAGTATCCATGCACATACCTTATAAATCACAGAAACAGGAGTGACTACTTTACCATAAGCATTGCAGACACACCAAAAAAGTTCCATATGCAATATTTTTCGCTGCTCAGAAGTATAAAACATGTGCAACCATTTGATTTAATCATAATTTTATTTACCCCAACCATCTAACCTGGATGTCTTAAATGAATGCATGATGTAATGAATGAGTCATAGACTTGACGTAGAACAATACATTTTGGCTAGATTTGGCTTGATGACCACAGAGAATATAAGTAAATCCTTCTTCAATTGTCTCCATACTTGAAAAAACCAACTGCTTTTCAAGGATAGGATATAATGGAATATTTACCGCCATGGATTCGC